AGTAGGGTCAACCCTAGGAAGATTCAGGTGTAAGTGTGTGCGTGCTGTATTGTGTTGTGTTGTGTTATATTATGTAACCTGACTTCCCGCTGGTTGCAGAACCGCCGATCCCAAGGCTTCACCTCTATTCTTTATATCGAAGTGGCAGTCCGTCACAAAAATTTAAGAGTCTCGGAAATTATACTCGTTTCTCACTTGTTAATTGGAGTCAAGTCAATTATCATTAGGTTAATCCAATAAATTCCAACAAGATTTAACCGAACGCGCGTTACAACAAACTCGACATTTGTGAAAAATGCAATATCACCGGGCCGCGTTGCAAACAACTCAGGTTCGCGAAGTATAGGCGTCAGAGGCAGCGGGCGACTAAGCTATTAACACGACGCGCAACTACTCAGTTCCAAGCTCTGCGGCAAGTGACCCGCAAAACGCCGACGCCGGCGCGGCCGGACGCCGCACCAGCCCGCACCCCCCGCGCCTCAGCCGTCAGGCTCGCCTCCCGCTCGACCCGAGCGCCGACGCAGGCCGCCAAACGTTAAATTAGGCCTAAACAGTATCCACTACCGGGAGCAGTTGCAGGAGCGCGGAGCGCTGCTGGAGCGCGAACATAATGGATATCCACCTTTAAACTCATAAGTGGGAACACTTATTGTGACGGACGGGAAACTACGGAACCCTACACTGAGCGTGGCCCGACACGCTCTTGGCCGGTTTTTTAACCGTTTTATAAGTACTTACATCCGACAAAAGTTCTTGTATTTTAGAATTATAATCTGACGTATCCATGACTACCGTGGCGTTTCCCTTATCTGCGCGGAGAATCGTAAGTTCTGGTTTATTGCGTAGGTTCTTTAACGCTATAAATTCGTCTTTGGGAAGATTCGGTTTAGGCACTGAACATCGACGTATCATAGACGAAATGTCTTGACGTATCGCCTCCAAATCTTCTTTCCGCATATTGTTTTTAAATAAACAGTCCTCGACACTACAGATAATTTCTTCGTACGGTAATTTGCGGGGTGTAATTGCAAAGTTAAGGCCTTTGGATAACTCAACACTTAGCGAAAATACTCTCACCGCTCAGGGGACATACAAGAGCACACATAAAGGATTCCTACCATTTTGTCAGTGAGATTAAAGACCTACATCTGGCAGACAATGAAACTATGGTCGGTTTTGATGTGCAGTCATTGTTTACATGCTTACCTGTTGAACTACTTCAATTGTAACTAGAAGGCTGGAAGAAAACAACATGCCCGTAGAATATGCAGTATTACTCAGACACTGCCTTACATCTGGCTACCTATTGTGGAAGGAGGAGTTCTACAAGCAAGTAGATGGTGTGGCGATGGGCTCACCTGTATCTCTCATTGTCGCCGACATATTCATGGAAGACTTTGAGGAGAAAGCCCTGCTTAGTTCTCCCAAAAATCCAAGATTCTACAAGCGGTACGTAGACACTTTCACAATTCTACCTTTAGATAAAGTAACTGCATTTTTAGGCCATCTTAACTCTATAAATTCTAAAATTCAGTTCACAATGGAGTTAGAGGCAAACAATTCCTTAGCTTTTCTAGATGTGTTTGTAATTCGGAATCCTGTTAACACCTTGAGCCATACTGTGTATAAAAAAAAAGACCAATACAGATAGATAGATATTTAAACGGTGATTCTCACCACCATCCTTCACAGTTAGCTAACGTGGGTAAATCTTTGTTTCAGAGAGCACGAGGGATCTGTGACAGTAAACACCTGGCTGCAGAGCTCCACCATGTCAAGCAAGTTTTGCTTGACAACAAGCTTGGAGTTCCGCGCCTACTTCACAGTGAACGAGTGAAGCCGGCCACAGTCGAGCGTGTACCTGCTGTACTACCATATGTTAGAGGAGTCACTGACAAGATTGGCTACATCTTGAAGCGCGCTACTATCAAAACATACTTCAAGCCGCTGAAGAAGATTGGTCAGTTTTTACCATCAGTCAAGTGTAATGTCCCTCTGCAAGATGCAGGAGTGTACAAGCTTGATTGTGAATGTGGTCTATCCTACATAGGACAAACTAAAAGATCAATAAAAACCCGCGTTAAAGAACATATAGCTGATGTGAAGAATCGACGCTCCGGGAAGTCTGCAGTCTGTGAACACGTACAGGATCGCCCCCGTCACTACATCAGATTTGATAGACCGCAAATCCTCGCTATAGAACATCGATTCCTTCCAAGGATGATTCGCGAGGCTATTGAAATCAAAAAACATCCTAATTTCAATAGAGAAGATGGCTGGGTGCTACCATCTGCTTGGGATCCTATAATAAATAAAATTAAATCCCAACCCAAGCATACAACTGCAAGACTTCAAGATACCATAAGTTCATACTGCATAGATCGGAACAAAAGTTAAATTTTAATCTATGGTAACCGCGGTTAACTATGACATATGGACGTTGAACATCTCAGTCCCGCCCGTGACCATGAGTGCTGTAAAGCGTTCGAAACGTCGGGTATTTAAAAAGTTAAATATACGCGATAAATTCCGTTAAAACTAGTATTATTTCAATCTTTACACAAAATAGTTCTACATATGTAAAGCGCGCGAGCACTCGCGTCCCAAACAGGGGCGCGCGTAATGGAGTGTTAAAGACAGAGTGTTGAACTGTATTTGGGGTGATAAAATTGAAAAAAACAAACAAAAAGTGAATTCCGATTATCCTCCCCGTCTGGGGTGGATAGATGAACACTAATTTCCGAGTTTTTGCGGTAGTCTTAAAACTCCGAGCAAAAACCAAGGCTCCAGGTCCCGAAGGCGTCACTGGCTGCGCCTGGGTTTTAGCCCTCAAGGAACTAGGGGAACGATTCCGCAGGCTACTTGATGCCTGTCTAGAGACGGGACGGTTCTCATTATAGTGGGAAACGGGCAGGCTAGTCCTTCTGTGGAAGGATGGGCGCCCCGCCGACTCTCCCTTCACCTACCGCCCAGTAGTAATGCTCGATGAAGCAGATAAGCTCTTCGAGTGAATAATAGCCCGTCACCTCATCGGGCATCTCGAAGAGATGGGTCCTGGGATATCAGACCAGCAGTTTGGCTTTCGAGTGGGTCGGTCAATGATAGACGCAATTAAATGCGTCAAGGCCCACTCGGACCAGATATTGGCGAGGGGTGGGGTATTATTGGCAGTGTCCCTAGATATTGCCAACGCTTTCAACACTCTGCCCTGAGAGTGCATGAGGGGCCTCCCCGAAGTAGCACAAAGTACCTCCCTATCTCAGCCAAATAATCAGGAGCTATCTCTCTGAGCGATGCGTTTGCTATCCTGGGCGAGAAAACATGATATTAGGGAGGGTAATGTCGTGCAGCATCCCACAGGGCTGGGTTTTAGGACCGCTTCTTTGGAACGTCGGTTAGGACTGGGTGTTGCGGGGAGATCTTCCCCCAGGTGCATAATTTACTATGCAGACGATACTCTGGTCACTGCACAAGGGGAGACCTACCAGTCACTTGCCACTACGTTTGTGGCACAAGTTGTCGGCAGAATCAGGATGTTGGGGCTGGAAGTGACGTTAAGCAAGTCCGAGGCCATTTCTTTCACAGGCCTCGAAAAGCACTGCCACATGGATCTCACATCATTGACAGTGATGTCCGTATTGAGGTTGGGTCCACCATGAAGTACCTTGGACTCATCCTGGATAGCTGCTGGAGCTTCCGCGAGCACTTTAGGTGCTTGACTCCCTGGCTAATGGGAGCGGCAGCCGCCTTAAAGCGGCTGCTACCCATGTCGAAGGGCCCGATACGAATTGCTGCCACCTCTACTTGGGGGTGGTTCGGTCCATGGCTTTATATGGGGCCCCTATATGGGTTAGGGCTCCGACGGAAAGAACCATCACCTTTCTGAGAAGGCCCCAGAGGGCGATGGCCGTCGGAGTCGTACGAGGATACCGGACGATCTCGCATGAAGCGGCTTGCGTTTTGGCTGCGTCCCCATCCTGGGATATAGAGGCGGAATTCCATGTATCTATGTATGATTGGCGCTCGGAACTTCGACACCGAGAGTACCGCCCCTCTCCCAGAGAGTGGCAATTGCGAAAGCTCCACACTCAGCAGCTTGTGCTTGAAAGGTGGAAGGAGCGTCTAGCCCACCCGAAGGCAGGAAACAGGACTGTTGAGGATATTCGTCCAGTCCTGTTAGACTGGACGAATAGGCGGTACGGGTCACTGACCTTCCGCCTGGTGCAGGTGCTTTCCGGGCATGGGTGAAAGAGAGACGACAACTGTGTACCCTTGAGGATGGCCCAGCTTGGGCTGAATTGCGTCGTGACCTCGTGGCTGTAGTAGGGGACGACCTCTCGTTCACAGCTTTCATTAAAGCTATGGTTGGATGGAAAACGTGGAGTGCTGGCGTTACCTTCTGCGAACAACTGAGGCTGCGGAGAGGGAGAGGGAGAGGGAAAGGGAAAGGACAGCAACTATCCCAATCGGACGGAAAGTTGGCCGCCAGAGAAGGCATATTAGGCTCTCCTCCACCCCCCATAATTGAAGCTTAGGTGAAGGACACGGAGGTTGTCCGTCGCCTCTTACGTTAAAAAGGGAAGATTTTTTAGGTTGGATAAACGGAATGACCCCTAAAATTGGTTGTTTTGCTAGTCGTATAAAGTTCACAAAAACCTCTAAATTCGTGCAGTTAGGGCATTTTACGGTATAGGTCCCGAGTTTGACCCTGGGTTAGAAATATAAGTCATCAAGTTTTTTAGTAAGTTTGCTGTGTTTTACCCATTGCCTTCTTATCCTGATCTCTCTCTGATCGTGGCGATTTGCCGGCCCATCGGATTATAAGAGCGCTTGCACATACATTCGGGCACTATTATCCTATCCCGTGAAGAGGGCTAGAGTCTATTAAGACTGGCCGCCGTGACCGAAACCCGGTCTTTTATATAAAAAATGTTAAATTAAGTAAAAAAATAGAAACATAATAATATTTTAATGACTTCTTGAGTATAAATAATTTACTATTAACTATATGATTTTTTTGCTCGCCAATCTAAAAATTCATCAATGTCGACGTTACTTTCCGAATCAGTATCTTCGTCTTCACTCATAACTTCTGCATCTTGCTTTTTCTTCTTGGTTTCTTCTTTTTTTAACTCTAAGTCTAAAACTCTGAAAAACAATAATGATATACTTGTAGAAAGTGGTCACTTGGAAGAGAAGGCAAATTGGCCTCTAAAAAGCTTAGCGTGCTCAGCAGAGCGGGGCAGTATTTCATGCCTGCAACTTTACAAAGCGCAGGTTCGGCCGCACATGGAATACTGTTCCCATCTCTGGGCTGGGGATCCCCAGTACCAGCTCCTTCCACTTGACCGCATCCAGCACAGAGCGGCTCGAATCGTCGACGACCGAGTGCTTTCCGATCGGCTCGATTCACTGGCGCTGCGAAGAGATGTTGCATCTCTTTGCATTTTCTTTCGCATATACCATGGGGAGTGCTCTGAAGAATTGTTCGGATTAATCCCAGCCGCCAAATTTCGTGAACGCACTACGCGGCAAACGTCCCGATACTATCCACACCATCTGGATGCTGGCGGTCCACCAATGTACGTTTCAAAAGGAGTTTTCTTCCGCGTACGACCTCTCTGCGGAATAGTTTACCACCGGCGATTTTTCCGGACCGATACGACCTGGGGACCTTCAAGAAAAGAGCTTACTCCTTTCTAAAGAGCCGGCAACGCACTTGCAATTCCCTTGGTGTTGCGGTTGATCATGAGCGGCGATAGTCACTTAACATCAGGTGAGCCGCACGCTGGTTTGCCCCCTCTTCTATAAAAAAAGAAAGAATGGTTTTGAAAAAAAAATTACAGTATTTAGTTTGCTGACTTGTGGTTTTCAATAATTTAAATAATTTAATATAAATTTATAGAAAATCACCGTCGTAGCTTAGGGGGTCCGTCAACGCACGTTGTGGCAGCGCGGCGGATCTTTCTTGCCCTGAAACCTCTCTCAGAAATGAAAGGAAGCCCGTGGCGGGAGTGGTACGTATATAAACTGACAAGGATATTAAAACAAAAAAGTGAAAACTGATTGTGTTACCGAAGAACTCTATACCTTGACCAGTTTCGGATTTGTTCATCTATTTCGTCGATCTGCCGTTCCGCTGTCGCTTCTTCTTGTTCCCCAGCTATGATTTCGGCAGATGTTGTAGTTTCTTCTTTTATTTCCTTCTGAAACCTTTCCCATTCTTCTTCAACAGGATCTTTATATTCAATGTTTCTAACCTGACAATTATAATTATAAGTTATTAATAAATTAAGTTACAAATTCTTACGGTAACTGTAAAATTTTCTAAAAATCACTTATTATGAAGAGAGAGTCCTTCGAAGATTCATGATTTTTTTTTTATAGAAAGGGTGACAAACGAGCACACAGTCCACCTGATGGTAAGTGGTTGCTGCGGCCCATAGACATCTACATCTATCCTCCATTAAAAATCAAAATGCAGATGCGTTGTCACCCGTGAGGACTGAGATGGAATGCCTCGTTTCCAGTAAAAAGGGTCTCCGGTTCTCTACACTCACCATACGAAATACAGCAGCATTAAGCTACTATTTCACGCTGGTATTCTGTGAGAGCGTGGTCCTTCCCCTGTCGAGCCGACCCATTCGTGCTACAACTATACTACTAATATAACTGCAGCATGGCTCTACCACGTAAAAACGTTTTGACGTAAAGTACTGTTGACTTAACAATCAAATAAAATTTTATTAGTATCGTCCGTTAGTAGTCTAGGCTCATGTGTATGTACAATAGATCTATTAAGTCAGTATTAAATGTACAGTCAAGATCACTAGACGGGTTATTTATGCCACGAACGTCCCTAACTTTTATGGCGACCCTGCCAGTTCATACTCGTTCTGCCGCGGTCGCGGACCGTGTTTAAAAAGATGTTAAATTGAAATTAAAGATTAAATTTGATAACAAATAAAATTGGACTTATATTATTTAAAAGAAAAAAAAATGTGTGCTCTGTCGTTAAAAAAAGACCAAGCGTTCTTTAAGCAAGACAGTTCAGGAGGTTCAAATTCTGCACATGTAGAAGAAATTAAAAGCCATCTGTCATGAATATCCGTCGTGTGGCTCTTCTCTATAGTGTATACAAAATACACAAAACGTGTCATACAAGCTGGATGCGGTATCAGGTGGTAATGCACGATTTGCTTTGCGCTTTAATGCGTTCAGGACCAGGAGCTCGTGTACCTAGTGCATGCTATGAGTGCTGCCACGAGGAACGCCGGAAGACAACAGATGCCTCGATGTGAAGATTCACGACTATCTGCAGCTGTTGAGAAAGATGTTGAATTAAAAATATCCGACCGAATTTTCTGGACGGATTCTCGTACGGTGTTAGGTCAGATCTTCGTAATTTCAAAACATTTGTTACTCATCGACTAACTGAAATCGAAGATCATAGCAGGCCATGTGAATGGCGATGGGTACCGATGTCGCAAAATGTGGCAGACGACGCCACTAGAAGTTTTCTTTCCACCTTTGATGAAAACCATCGTTGGTTTCAAGGACCTAATTTTCTTTGAAATTCTATTTAACAGAGGAAAGTCGAAAACCTATCATTTTGGACGATTAAAAATGATGTGGTGAAAATGGTGATTACAGAAGTTTATCATAATTTGGGTCTCGCCAATCATCAAACGGTGATGAATGAGGTGTACCAAAAGGTTTATGTTCTGACTTTAAGTAATACAGTTCGTGTTTCACACAACTGTCCATGGTGTAAGACTTATAAGTCGAAGCCACAAATAGTGCCGCAAGGCAACGTTCCACTGGAGAGAATAGTTAATTACAGCAGAGAGAAGTTTTACGTACGTTGCTCTTAGAGGCGGAGCATACTGTTGCGCGCCCCAGTTGATGGCACTAGCGCCATCTATTACCGAACAAAGGAACTAAGCTTTCCAGAAAACTCCAAACTCGAATTTTCTACATCTAGTCAGTCGGAACCAGTATTTGCTGGAACATTCTAGATGTTTCGGTGGAAAAGGCCTATATAAAGCCGTTCCGCCGCGACCGGGGCAGTATTGAATTGGCGATACGACCGAAGTTTTCGGAGCGAAATAAAGTGAACTAGTGTTAAGTGTCATTAATTAATTGTGTGATTGAAGTTTTAATTGGTGTTCAGTAAATAAAGTGTCAATTTTGGTAATTCTATCACAGTATTTACTGTCACGAGCCCTAAGCTCGTAATAATACATTTAATTCAAGACCATTAATTTCAATAAATATGGCCAGTCCTGAAGAGGGCTTAACACCTAATTATTTTCGTCTCGAGCGCTCATGTGGTGATCGTACACCTGGATTATTTATGGAACGACATTTAATTGGTCAACCTAGTTAGTAAACTGCTCAGAAATTGGCAGATTATTTTTGGTCAAGATGGTTGAAAGAGTATATGCCCACCTTGATACCTCGAACGGGCAATAACGGCAAGTTTAGGCGCCGGGGCACGACAGGATTACCAACACTGCACTACGACAGCTGCCCAATAGAGTCCTTGTAGAGATAGGTCGGCTTTACAACGGCATATTGCGGACATCCCACTTCCCGGAGGACTGGAAGAAAGGCAAAGTGATCGTCTTGCCGAAACCCGGGAAGGACAGGCGTAGAGCTGCCAGCTACAGGCCGATCACGCTATTACCGCACATAGCTAAACTGTGCGAAAGATTACTGCTAAGACGTCTCCGCCCGTGCATCCAACTTCGGGCGGAGCAGCATGGATTCAGGAGGGATCACGCTACAGCAACACAGCTGTCCAGAGTGCTGCACCTGCTTGCGGACGAGCACAACCGCGGCCGCACATCGTTGGGCGTCTTGAGGCGTTCGACCGGGTGTGGCACACAGGATTACTCTACAAGTTAGACGATCAGACTAGTATCCCTCCTGCTATATTGCGGCATGTGGCCTCCTTCCTCGTAGACAGGAAGTTCTACGTCTGTGTAGAGGACGCCGAGTCCGCAATAAAACCCATTAAAGCTGGTGTGCCACAGGGCAGCTGTCTGTCTCCAGCCCTGTACGCAGCGTACACTAATGACATACCTACCCTGGCAGGACACTTGCACGAATGGGAGGACGACGTCGAACTAGCGCTATTTGCGGATGACAGCGCATACTTCACGTCGTCCAGAAGAGCCCACATTGCAGCTGCCAGGATGCAACGTCTGCTGGACCTGCTGCCACCATGGTTGGATGAGTGGAGGATGACCGTCAATGTTAGCAAGACGACCGCTCTGCTCACTCGCCGCTATAGAAATCTACCACCACCGCTAACCCTCGGAGGCCAGGAGATCGCATATGAGAAGGCCGTGACCTACCTTGGATGCCGGATCAACAGGATGTTGCGTATGACTGCACACGTCGACTTTGTTATACGCAAAGCTCGATGTGCGCGGGCAATGCTCCGCCCTGTCCTGACATCCAAGTTACCGACAAAGTCGAAGTTAACCATCTATAAAACATACATAAGACCCCTGCTAACATACGCTGCTCCGGCCTGGTATGCACTCCTGAACGATCATCAGAAGCGGCGACTTCAGGCCCAGCAGAGTTTGTCATTACGAACTATAGTCGGTGCGGATCACTACGTCCGGAACGACGTCATAGCGACCAACCTAAAGATAGAGAGCCTACAAGAATTCGTGGTCCGGCTGGCGCGCGGTATGATCGACCGCGCCGACAACGGGCCACATGAACATCTCAACGGCTTCGCGCCGATGCACTCACGGCAGCCGGACGGGCGACCCTATCCAAGAGAACTCCTCCCTATATAGATTAGGGAGTCGAGTAAACCCCACAAAGCCGCAGAAAGGCCAACTTCGACTAAAAATTGTGTTTAAACACAATTTCAATGTCTCCTTTAATGAAATTTTAACCGACTGCGACAAAAGTCGCTAAAACAACACGCCTTTTATCATTAAGGCGCCCAGGACCGGCACATTGCAGTGTGCCGTGAGGAACATCCGGGTAAAGGGGCATACCCCGAGGCCCAAGACCTGCATGGCATTATGCCTTGCAGAAGACAACAACGACGAACGGCAAGTTTATAGAACCAAAAGGGAGCGATATCTTCTTAATAATAGATCACTCGTTACCACGCAACACCTGGTCGCGAGGTAAAATTCACACTAGAGTTGTTGACGTTATCACTACCAATACGGGGATACTAAGAAGACCAACGTCTCAATTAATAGTATGGGTACGCTACGCCTCCCAAATGATGGTGCTGGCGCACAAGGGTGAGACTGTTGGCGATGCGAGATAAACATCTCACTAAATCATTCATACTACTACTATACTATTCATACTGCTCGTATTAAGGAAGCGATCGAGCGGAACCAGGGCTCCAAAGTCTTTGCCAGAGATCTGTCTGCCAGAAAGAGCCAACTGTCAAAGCAGAAGACTGAATGTGGCAGCATCGTTTCCGAGACACCTGAGATTTTGAGTGAGATTGAGAGGTTCTATGGGCAGCTGTACACATCATCGTTGAAGCCACACGCAAGTGTGAGTAACCGACACTATTCCGATGATATCCCGGACGTCAGTCTGAGCGAGATTAGAATGGCTCTCCAGCACCTTTAAAAACGGCAGGACCCCAGGCGAGGACGGAATTACAGCGGAGCTTCTGAAAGCGGGTGGAACACCGGTACTTGAAGTCCTTCAGAAGCTCTTCAATTCCGTCCTCCATGGTGGCACTACTCCGGAGGCGTGGAGCAGAAGTGCGGTGGTCTTGTTCTTTAAGAAAGGCGACATCGCTCTCTTGAAGAACTACAGACCGATTTCCCTTCTGAGCCGCGTCTACGTGCTGTTTTCGAGAGTCATTACGAATCGTTTCGCACGCAGACTCGACGACTTCCAGCCTCCCGAATAAGCCGGTTTCCGAAAAGGCTTCAGTACCATAGAGAACCAGATTGTACAGAAGACCGAAGAGTACAATCTGCCACTTTGCCTGGCGTATGTGGACTATGAGAAAGCCTTTGATTCCGTCGAAATTTGGGCGGTGCTATAGTCCCTTCAGCGGTGCCAAGTTGACTGTCGGTATATCGAAGTGCTGAAGTGTTTGTACAGTAGGGCTACGATGGCTATCCGAGTACAGAACCAGAGTTCGAAACCTATCCAACTGCAGAGAGGTGTAAGACAGGGTGACGTTATATCCCCGAAACTCTTCACCGCTGCGTTGGAAGACGTTTTCAAGCTACTGGCTGGAAAGGATACGGTATTAACATCAATGGCGAGTACATCACTCACCTTCGATTTGCCGACGATATAGTCCTTATGGCAGAATCGCTGGAGGAACTTACCACTATGCTCAATGACCTCAATGGTGTCTCCCAACGGATAGGTCTTAAGATGAACATGGACAAAACAAAGATCATGTTTAATGTCCATGTCACACCTATGCCGGTAGTTGTTGGGAGCACTATGCTCGAAGTTGTTGACGAGTACGTGTACCTGGGACAAATGGTCCGACTAGGTAAGTCCAACTTCGACCGAAGGTCAATCAACGGATTCAACTCGGCTGGGCAGAGTTCGGGAAATTACGACACATCTTCTCGTCAGGTATACGAGTACCTCAATCTCTGAAAACTAAAGTATACAACCAGTGCGTGTTGCCAGTGATGACTTACGGATCAGAGACGTGGTCCTTCACTGCTGGCCGTATGAGGACGCTCAAGGTCGCTCAGCGAGCTATGGAGAGGGCTATGCTCGGAGTTTCTCTATTAAAACCAGAGTGACCGACATAGCCCAACGGATTAGTAAGCTGAAGTGGCCATGGGCCGGCCGTATAGCTCGAAGAACCGACAACCGTTGGGGAAAAAAGGTTCTCGAGTGGCAGCCTCGTACCGGTAGGCGTAGTGTAGGGCGACCCCCCACTAGATGGAGTGACGACCTGGTAAGACATCATTCATTGTTTCTTAAAATAAATGTCAAATTTATGTAATTTAATAAATTGCTAATTTCTGAGAGAAATAAAGATATTCGTATTAACCCGCTAGCTCAGGAAGAACAGCAAACAGGTTAAATTAGAGTCATGCATTACATGGCATTCGGCTATGTAATGCGAATTAAAAAGTTAAGAGCATTTTCATTCTCTTTTAAGCACTTTTGATGAATTAATTTTTTATCCACTAATAACATATATCAATAATAGGTTAGATAAGGAAAGTTTAATGCTAGAGTGAAATAGTGTATATGTTCGACAGGGAAAGTATAAATATTAAAGAAGGATGGCAAGAGCCGACTATTTGATACCGAGGGTCCTATAGAAATGAGTTTGTCAACTCACACGAATGTCTAACAGAACCAAAAACGCAAGTCCGGACCGTTTTTTTACGAGTAAGAAATAATAATTAAAATACTCTTTTATTAGAAATATGAAAATATAATGAATGTTTTGGATAAATTCCGTATAATAATAAGGTGAGAAACATGTTAAAAGAATTTGATTTTATTGATAAAATAGCGCAATAATAATTTGTATGAGAAAATTAAACGTTTAAATTGTGTAACGTAGACGCGGCTTCTTAGAAGGGAAATCGATCTGTAGTTCTTTAAGAGAGCGTGGTCGTCTTTCTTGAATAACAAGACCACCGCACTTCTGCTAAAGACTGCAGCTTTATCTCCCGTCTAACAGCCATGAAATTAAGAGTGTCATCGGAGAGTTTTTGTGTTCTTTAGCGACAGATCTTAAAGAACTGAGCTTCGAGCACATGGACAGTTTCCACATGCTTGTCATTAATATTGTCCACTTCATTACAGTTTCTAGGCACTGGAAACGATTTTGTAACTCGAGCTGAAAGTTTTCGGCGCTTTGGATTAGAGCACGAGGGGAACGGAGATTTGACTTCACTAGACGTGACCTCTGCAACTTAACTTTTAAGTTCAGTGTGCCTCTCACCATTCGGTGATCACTGCCAGTTTTCACCATTGCGATCACTGATACATTACTGAACAGTTGTCGTCTGGTCGTCATATTGAAGTCAATCTCGAATTTTGTCCAACCGTCGGGGCTCGACCAGGTCCACTTTTTGTGGGGCTGCTTCTTGAAGAAAGAGTTCATCATAAAGAGTCTCTCTTTCTACATGAAGTCGGCCAGCTGCTGGCCCCTTGGATTCCGTTGCCCTATCCCAAATTTCCTTCAAGTTTTGCATTGAAGTAGGTTTTGGAGGAATACATGGCTCTAGAAATATCCTCATAGATTTTCTCCACCTCTTCATCGGGATGTGCCAAGATTGTTGTGTAAACCTGTCCATCAGCGAATACCGTTTGGTGATTTTGAGTATAAGGTACGCAACTCTCGACGACACACTCCCAATCTTTACAGCGTTGTTGAAGAGAGACTTATGGACGATAAATCCGACATCTCCTTGGATCGCCCTCCCGGTGATAGAACAAGTTGCCGGATTCGAGGATTACCATGTCATCCCCATCTCTTCGGACCTCAGATAATCCTATAATACCTCTACTCTTCTTCCAGCTCCAGGATCTTCTCGTCAGTCCTCGGGGTGCGTGCGTTATATGTTGCCAGGTCGAGTCGTCTTAGGTGGCAACCGAATCCACCGGAGATCCTTAGCACCCCCTGCCCCGTCGTTACCATGGTCCCCCCCAACGTGGCCAGGAATAGCAGCCGTTTTTTTGTCGTTGCTCATGGGGGGTATATTGCCATAGTTACCACGCTTGGCGAGCGGATTGGCAACCGTAGTTTTTTTTTATTTCTTTTTGCTGTTATCAGGAAGATGCTACTACCTATCTTCTGCTTCAGTTTCCCTCTGTCGCCTCTTACGACACCCCCGGGAAGATATGGGATAGTGGGTATTCTTACCCGCCACAACACGGGAACTGAATTACAATCATTTGTGGAAACTGTTAAATCTAAAATTAAAAATATTACTTATGTTTTTTGATCATGTGATCAAAGTACTGGAGCACCTTATTTCGCAAGCGCCAGTGCTCACAGTACAAAAATGGCGGCAATTAATGAAGTCATATTTTTTTTATTTATTTATTAGGTTCTCCAACAGTTATAACACAATACATTTGAATAAAAAAAAATACAAGTTCCAACATGTCTTAAGCTAAGTGCATAACTACTTATAGGGGAACACATCGTGCGTTTAATAATGATAAGTTACCTCAATGTGAAAGAAAAATCATTAAACCTATTTTAAGTTATTTTTTAATAAATTACAGAAGATATTTTTTGGTGACAAAGTCCCTGATCTGCTTACGAAAATGTTCAGAAGAATCAAAATTAAGATCTACCAATGTGCTGCATTCATTGTAAAGTCTACTCAATCTAGGAACAGGAGAGAAATGACCAAGTTTAGTCAAGGTTCATAGGCTGAATAGGCTCTCTCGGAATCCGAGAAGGTATTCTGAAGGAAAAGGAATTTAGCAAAGGAGGACAGTCTATCTTATTATGGAAAAGATTGTATACAAACATCCGAAATATATATTTCCTTAGGGTACTGCGGCACTATACTGGCAGTCCATAACGGAACGAATTATTCACCAGTGAGGGCACTGAGCAGTGCTCGCAGTGTATATCGGAACACGGCCCATGTCTATGTCTAACGTAGACAGAGAAACCTATAGACAAATAGACGCCTTCTTTCGCATTCGCACACGAAAAAGATAGATTTATGCATACGTCTTGCATAGAAATGAGACAGAGCGGTGCGATTGTTTATCCCTTTCTCCGTGCCGGTTTTTTTGTTTAGCAAACTACATACATAAACACTCACGCTTGTCACCCAGAGGGGTAGGCAGAGACTACGGACTTCCATTTTGCACGATCCTGACATAGCTCTTTCGCCTCCTTTACATCCATATATCTACGCATACATTCTCGTCGGTTAAGGGTACTTCTAACGTGGCCCATTTTCAAAATATCGCCAATTTCGGCGATAAACTTTTTTCTAGGGCATCCCTTCCCGACTCTGCCGTTCACATCTGCCATATAAATTTGCTTTGTCACTCTTTCCTCATTCATTCTTTCTACATGACCACCGAAGCATTCCTTTCTTAATCCTGGTCACAACATCATCTTGCATACCACATTTATCTTAAACTACACTTTGCTAAACAACTTTGACAGTTCGTAGTCATCTAAGGAGTTTACAAGTTGGTTTAAGTGAGAAAAAAGTGTTTTGTGAGCTTAAGATTGGTGAATCTTGTTCAGTTCAGTTCTTAGAACAAATAAACATTTTATCTAAATATGTTTAAGTCATAAAGATTATTATATAACCTAAAACTACGTTATCGTCCTTTCTCACTCGAGGCCACGCTAATCCTTAGTCTATCGGTTTCTCGGTCTACGATGTCTAATCTACTAGTCACTATAAAATCATATATAGCACATCATCATAGCTCACTAGTAAAGTTAGTAGACATAATATGCCAATCATTTATTAGTCGTGACCGAATCATTCTAGCACATTACATCACGCGTACCGGTATATTCGGAACGATCATTCAAATGGATCATTTCGGGCTCCAGTACCCAAGACTAATTTTTAAAAACAATTGATTCAGATCATTTACAATTCACACTAATCAGGAGTTAAAAAGTTTCCGTCAATTGTTTATGAATGGTTGTACCGGAACATTCAAAAACAGATGAATGAACAATTAAGAAAATACGTTTAAGTGAACCAGCTAAAGCGAACGAATCATTCATGATTGACACGTGTATATAAGTTAGTCTGTACTCTACTGAAGCAAAACAAAAGTCAATGCAAGCGTGTTTAAATTTATTAACCTGTGATATAAATTTAAATGTAAACGTAGTGTTGTTTAGCCTATTAAAATTTTTAAGCCTTTGTTGTAGTTAGTTAATATACTTACTTATTACGGAATAATAATTGTATGCAAGGGAGTTAAGTTAACTATTATTTACATAGTTCAGACAAAAACCACATGTTTTTAGCCACATCTTTCAGTAAAATAAATCTTCTTTTTTTACTCCATCAAGCGTAGTTACTCTCAAATTAATAAAATGGATAACAACAGTATGATAAAATTAGTGCAATCATGCATTCCTCCTTTAGATGGCAATAGTCATAAAGGTCAAGCCGGTAGGATAGGAGTTATTGGAGGTTCAATGGAATATACTGGAGCTCCATTTTTCGCTGGTATTAGTGCTTTAAAAGTAAGTTGATATAAGTTTATCTTACCAATTACCTCTAGACAAAATTTCACATATTTTAACATTATGATCTCTCTGCCAAGCTAATAATTATGGAATGGAATAAGTACATAAAGTATGAATATTAACAGTATCTAAAAGATTTGAATGATCTTGTTTGTTCAAATTATTCAATAAACTGCGGATTTTAATTATTGAAAATGTTTTTATGTACCTAATTGAAATTCAAATTTATTTTAGATTTAGAACACTGGAATTCTTATGTCAACTTGAATACGAACTACAAACAATTTATAAATGTTTTATTTAATTATGTTATATGCTTTATTTTGACATAAAATATATAACTTACTACTATTTTTTTCTGTTGACATTCACTGCAAATCAAGTGAAGTTGTGAATTTTCCACATAAGTATTTTCAGCAAAATTACAAAATTCTTGCAGTATTGAATCTTTCAAATAATAAGATGGATAAGGTTAAAAACTGCTATAAAGTAGAATTAGCATATCCCAACTCTACATGGTTCTTTTTACTAGTGTTCTTAGTAAGCCAGATATTATGATGTTAAGCCAATGTAGTAAAAATAGAAAATATCTTTAAGTATTTGTTTTCATTTTCATCATTATTGTAATAAAGTTACTACTGAAATATAGTAGGGCCTCAATAATCCGAACACACAAATTTTACATTTTTTCAGATATTGAGGCCTTCAAATTATTGTATGTCGATATTTTAAAAGATGGTTTTTGGAATTAAACATAGATTTTATAATTGAAAGTGAATACTAATTATAATCAATATATATTAATTGTAAAAATAAATTCATATAGTACTTTGCCAAGTGGTGTTTAACGACAAAGAAGATGCTTTATCCCTAAATTTCTACAATTGATATTGAAATATGTACTTGAGTAAGGAGGGGTCGTCCGGATTATAGAGGCGTTTGGATTATTGGGGGTTTGAATTATCAATAAATAACATAAGCACTGCTTTATAGTTAGTTCAGTTAGTATGCAAAGTTTCATGATCTTATTTAAAGTATTTTATGAATAACAGCGGTTTATTGTTTATTTTGGAGGTAACTTTGGATTTTTTTTTCTATCGAGAAAATTTTACGAAATCGTGTTTTCGTCTAACATAATCCTTAACATTAATCCTCAACTTTACCATATATTTATTTCAAAATTAATGCTGCAATATTTTCGCCATAACGAAGGATCTTGCTAAGCCATTTGAGATTATATTTCCCCTTAATAGATGGAATTTAACCAGAAACTGTGCTTAGGCTGCATCATTTGCATTTGTCACACTTGCCTCGGGTGACTTTAAATAAAAGAATTGTAGTTGCCATTTCACTTGTCAAGTGTGTAACTATTGCATATATCCGCTTACTGAGACAAACTATGAAGGAAGTTTATGTATCCAACATTGAATTTTTGATAGACTATTAAGAGTAACAATATTATGGTGGGACCCATTTACTATAATAATAAAATAAAAAACATTATTTTATGAACAAATCTCTAAAAGCCTTAATATATCATCATCAAAAAGATAAAAAATAAACTAGCAATAATATATTTTTATTATTAACATTATGATCCCGCCCGTGACCATGAGTGCTGTAAAGCTTTCGAAACATTGGGTATTTAAAAAGTTAAATATACGCGTTGAATTCCGTAAAAACTAGTATTATTTAAATTATGATGGTGTTCTAGAGAAATAATTTTGTCACTTAACACTCCTAAGGATATTTTTATTAGTGTTCATAACAATGTATAAAATGATTTAATAAGCAAAGTTTAAAGACACTTAATACTCTTCCTTTCCATTGTTTAATAATACTTTTTTTATTTAATAATAATATTTGTAACATTAATATTATTTTTTATATGATCATAAGAGTAACAAATGAGATTTCAGTACACCTAAAGATAAGAACTAATAAATAACTACATACTAAAAAACAAAACTACTAGCTACTGCATTGTTATCACTTAGCACTAAGATGAAATGCCTTATCATGACACTGTACTATTTAAACCAGAACACAAATGTTGGTGTAATGCTGCTTAGAGATGGAAAAGTCATGTCACCCAGTGAAACCTGTAAATTGTCATACTCATTTGTCAAGCTCAATTTGTTGCAGGTTGGAGCAGATTTAGTGCATATATTCTGCACTTCCCCTGCAGCGACAGTTATTAAGTCATACAGTCCTGATCTAATCGTTCATCCTCTGTTAGACCAACCAAATGCTGTAAATGAAATATCACCTTGGTTGGATAGGTTACATGCCATAGTAGTTGGACCAGGACTAGGCAGAGAAACGAAAACATTTGAAATAGTTTCAGAACTAATTAAAACAATTAAGAGAAGAAACATACCCCTCATTGTGGATGCTGATGCTTTATTTTTAATCACACATAATTTGGAATTGATCAAAGATTTTCAATCACCAGTAATATTAACCCCAAACAAAGCTGAATTTGAAAGGCTGTGTGACAAACTTAATGGTCAATCAGGGCTAAATAAACTGGGAAAAAATATTATAGTCTTAAAAAAAGGGAGTACAGATGAAGTATATTGTGCCATTAGTAATGCTCAGTGGAAATCAAATGTCGGTGGATCTGGTCGCAGATGTGGAGGTCAAGGAGATATACTTTCGGGATCTATTGCTATCTTCTTACATTGGACACTGAGCAATGTTGACAAATTAAACCTTACATATTCAATGGATAAAACAATTATTGCAGCGTCACTGTCATGTTTTGCTGCTTCTTTATTGGTAAGAACGTGCAATGAAGAAGCATTTAAAATTAAAGGCAGAAGCATGTTAGCTACTGATATGATTGAATATATACATACAAGTTTTCAAGAATTGTATGGCCAGTAGTAAAATTGCTTTTTTGGAATATCAATTTCCCTTATATGATGGGGTCAACTGCTAGCTGTTTTTCTATTTCAAGGGTAATTTTGCATTAATATAGAAATAGATGACATGATAAAATAAAAATAACTCTGGTTATTCATTAAATCGTAACTCATCGATCATCTAATCCTCAATACTTTTTCAAAAAATCAATGCTAAATATAAATACTATAGAAAATTTCCTGTTTTGTTAAAAAATATTAACAGAAGTTTTTTTTAACTGGTTGCTAGTTACTACTACTAGCCCAGCAGTGTGGTCAATAACAGTAAATTGAGAGGTTGAAACTGTATAAAAAATGTAACACTATTTATATTATGAGTTTAGATTTTTGTTCATCGCACACCTCTGTGCAAAAGCAGAAAAGTAATCTAATATCAGTTAAAAATTACATTTAAAATTTAATTTTTAAATTTTGCCCATTAAATTTGTTGTGGCTTTTTTTTAAATGTCTTATGAAAATAATGTTACATATTAATAGGTATATAGTAACAGCCTTATATCCCAATGCTGGACTGATATTGAACAAATTATATTAAATATCAGCTTGGAAGAGACAAAAGTAATTGTGTTCTAAAAGCAATATGGAAGGTAACTAAGTTATACTATAAGCAATACTGTTATGGTTTTAAAATAGCGTAATAAGTATATAATCGTTTGTATTAAATATACATATTCACGTTAAAGCAAATTTTATAAAATTTTCACAAGTTTAATTTCATTTGAAACAAGACACTTAACTGTTATGAGAGAAATATTTGTAAAAAATTATTTTAATTTTAATTATCATAATAAATTGCTGAAAATACTCACTTTGGCGTCTAGAATAGGATCATCAAAGAAACCTTCTGGTATGGGTTGATCGTTGCTTGTTTGAACTTTTGAGTCTGCCTCCATTACTATATTTTCTGATGGAACTTCTGCTTCTTGTGTGCCTTAAAATATTATTTGTTCGATTTATAAGCAAATTAAAATCTCATATGAACATGTGTTTTTCATTTATCTGATTGATACATCATCATCATCATCATCATCACAGCCCTTCACAAGTCCACTGCTGAACATAGGCCTCCCCCAAGTAATGCCACAAAGCACGGTCCTGAGCCACCTGCATCCATCGACTTCCTGCATATCTTACCAGGTCGTCACTCCATCTAGTGGGGGGTCGCCCTACACTACACCTACCGGTACGAGGCTGCCACTCGAGAACCTTTCTTCCCCATCGGTTATCGGTTCTTCGAGCTATATGGCCGGCCCATTGCCACTTCAGCTTACTAATCCGTTGGGCTATGTCGGTCAATCTGGTTTTACTGCGGATATCCTCATTTCTGAGTCTATCACGCAGAGAAACTCCGAGCATAGCCCTCTCCATAGCTCGCTGAGCGACCTTGAGCGTCCTCATACGGCCAGCAGTGAAGGACCACGTCTCTGATCCGTAAGTCATCACTGGCAACACGCACTGGTTGTACACTTTAGTTTTCAGAGATTGAGGTATACCTGACGAGAAGATATGTCGTAATTTCCCGAACGCTGCCCAGCCGAGTTGAATCCGTCGATTGACCTCTCGGTCGAAGTTGGACTTACCTAGTCGGACTATTTGTCCCAGGTAAACGTACTCGTCAACAACTTCGAGCATAGTGCTCCCAACAACTACCGGCATAGGTGTGACATGGACATTAAACATAATCTTTGTTTTGTCCATGTTCATCTTAAGACCTATCCGTTGGGAGGCACTATTGAGGTCATTGAGCATAGTGCTTAAGTCCTCCAGCGATTCTGCCATAAGGACTATATCGTCGGCAAATCGAAGGTGAGTGATGTACTCGCCATTGATGTTAATACCGTATCCTTTCCAGTCCAGTAGCTTGAAAACGTCTTCCAAAACAGCGGTGAAGAGTTTCGGGGATATAACGTCACCCTGTCTTACACCTCTCTGCAGTTGGATAGGTTTCGAGCTCTGGTTCTGTACTCGGATAGCCATCGTAGCCCTACTGTACAAACACTTCAGCACTTCGATATACCGACAGTCAACTTGGCACCGCTGAAGGGACTGCAGCACCGCCCAAATTTCGACGGAATCAAAGGCTTTCTCATAGTCCACATACGCCAGGCAAAGTGGCAAATTGTACTCTTCAGTCTTCTGTACAATCTGCCGCAGGGTATGTATGTGGTCTATGGTACTGAAGCCTTTTCGGAAACCGGCTTGTTCGGGAGGCTGGAAGTCGTCGAGTCTGCGTGCGAGACGATTCGTAATGACTCTCGAAAACAGCACGTAGACGCGGCTCAGAAGGGAAATCGGTCTGTAGTTCTTCAAGAGAGCGTTGTCGCCTTTCTTAAAGAACAAGACCACCGCACTTCTGCTCCACGCCTCTGGAGTAGTGCCACCATGGAGGACGGAATTGAAGAGCTTCTGAAGGACTTCAAGTACCGGTGTTCCACCCGCTTTCAGAAGCTCCGCTGTAATTCCATCCTCGCCTGGGGCCCTGCCGTTTTTAAGGTGCTGGAGAGCCATTCTAATCTCGCTTAGACTGACGTCCGGGATATCATCGGAATAGTGTCGGATAAGACTTGCTCTTGGATCGTTACTCACACTTGCGTGTGGCTCCAACGATGATGTGTACAGCTGCCCATAGAACCTCTCAATCTCACTCAAAATCTCAGGTGTCCCGGAAACGATGCTGCCACACTCAGTCTTCAGCCTTGACAGTTGGCTCTTTCTGGCAGACAGATCTCTGGCAAAGACTTTGGAGCCCTGGTTCCGCTCGATCGCTTCTTTAATACGAGCAGTATTAAAGTTGCGTAAGTCTCGCCGCATGCATTTGGAGATCTGTCTGTTCAGTTGCCTGTATGCTGTCAAATCTGTTGACGATTGCAGCCTCATCTCCCGTCTAACAGCCATGAGATTAAGAGTGTGATCGGAGAGTTTTTGTGTTCTTCTGCGGCGGGTCTTGCAGAACTTAGCTCCGACCGCATGGACAGTTTCCACGAGCTTGTCATTCATATCGTCCACTGCATTGCAATCTTGTAGGCACTGAAAGCGGTTGTGTAACTCGAGCTGAAAGTTTTCGGGATTTTGGATCAGAGCACGAGGGGGGACGGAGCGTTGACTTCATTAGACGAGACCTCTCCAACTTAACGTTTAGGTTCAGTGTGCCTCTAACCATTCGGTGATCGCTGCCAGTTTTCACCCTTGCGATCACTGAGACATCACTGAACAGTTGGCGTCTGGTCGTCATAATGAAGTCAATCTCATTTTTTGTCGAACCGTCGGGGCTCGACCAGGTCCACTTCCTGTGGGGCCGCTTCTGGAAGAAAGAGTTCATCATAAAGAGTCCCTCTTTCTCCATAAAGTCGGCCAGCTGCTGGCCCCTTCGGTTCCGTTGCCCTACTCCAAATTTCCCTAACTTCAGCTCACCGCTTTCTCTTGTGCCTAGTTTTGCGTTGAAGTCTCCCATCAACACCGTGTAGTGGGTTTTGGAGGAATGTATGGCTTTGGAAATATCCTCATACATTTCCTCCACCTCCTCATCGGAATGTGCCGACGTTGGTGCGTAAACCTGTATGACCTTCAGCGAATACCGTTTGGTGATTCTGAGTATCAGGTACGCGACCCTCGTCGACACACTCTCAATCTGTACAACGTTGTTGACGAGAGACTTGTGGACGATAAATCCGACACCTCCTTGGGACAGATGGTCGCCCTCCCGGTGATAGAACAAGTTGCCGGATTCGAGAATCACCGTGTCCTCCCCCCTCTCTTCGGACCTCGGATAATCCTATAATACTCCAGCGCAACTTGTCTATCTCTTCCTCCAGCTCCAGGATCTTCTCGTCAGTCCTCAGTGTGCGTGCGTTAAATGTTGCCAGGTCGAGTCGTCGTAGGTGGCAACCGAACCTCCACCGGAGATTCTTAGCACCCCCCTAAGATTGATACATATATAACCTAAATTTATAATAATGCCATTTGGTGGGCTCCACTCCCCATTTTTGCATGTAAGTGGTGACTATGGAATATACCAAAATGGCTTCCAATATATGGCAATATAACCATCTCATTTATGCTAAACGTAAAGATTAGCGATAGGAAGCAGCGATTCTCCAAAAAACCGATGCTTAGATATTCAATCCTCCTGCCAAGTGACGATTAAGGCAAATCTTCACTGCTATGGGAGAGGATCTTTAGCTATGGAATGAAAATGAAAGTTGGTGTAAAAAGAAGAAAACTTAGAATTTCTCTATGTTTCTATGCGAATTGCATCTCTTTATGTCAAAGAAGAAAAAATCCTATTGAGCTTATTTATTGCTCTACTGATCAGATGTCAAGAAACACCCAAATAATTAATTATCGGTTATCATTTGATATTTGCGTTGCCAATATATAAATTTGAAGGAGTTAATTACATTCATTTAAGCAGATAAGAAAGTTTGGCATTATAGTGTCATTATAAGTTCTGCAGGCTTGGGATGAAGTAGTGTCAAGCTTGCTGTACACTTTCTTTAATTCATGCTGAGAAGTTACGCCTATTGAAAGATTGGTGCAAAACACACACGATCACGGACTATAAATTCATCACAGAATCAGCCTGCTTAGCATTGTCGGAAAACTCTATACTAAGGTGTTTAATGAAAGGGTTAGGACATCTTTAAACTGAGAATAGACAATTTGTCAGCATGTGTGTTCCCATCCAATTATAATAAGTAAATAAGCTTTTTGTGAGGGTAAGTATGTGTGCGTTACTAATCATCGGCTCCATCACCATTTACCATCAAGTGTATATATATATAAACATAAATAAAAAACATAAACACACGCCTGTCACCCAGAGGGGTAGGCAGAGACTACGGACTTCCATTTGGCACGATCCTGACATACCTCTTTCGCCTCCTTTACATCGGTATCGGTCGGTTAAAGGTACTTCTAACGTGGCCCATTTTCAAAATATCGCCAATTTGGTCGATAAACTTTTTTCTAGGGCGTCCCTTCCCGACTCTGCCGTTCACATTGCCGTTCACGGTCATGCCTCAAAAACAATGAAAAGCACAGAAATACGAAAAGAAGAAATGGCATATCCGTGTCGCCATAACATGATCAATACACTCTCATATTACATGAAAATTACTGTCTCCGAAATTTGGTATGCTTTTGAAAGCTATTTAAATAAAATGCCGTTTTGATCAGTGTTTCTTGTAACAATTTAATTGTTGCTAGGGCTCCCAGCCAACTGGCTCGGCCTTCTGACGATCGACCTGTATAGGTACGATGTTCAGGTAATCTCACCCATGGGAATTTTCGACACTGTCCGGTGAAGTCTATGTCGTTATTTTCAACACCTTAACTACAATTTCCGAGGTGTGCGGTGAATGTAGCGATACAAATCAGCAGATTGGGATGAAAGCGTGCCCATTGGTGGTAAAGCTCGCCTATGATTCAACTCCGAATGCACCCGTGCTGAAAAGCACAAGCATATGGCAAGTTTATCCTGGTTTGATGCTCGAGCAAGCCAAAACCTGCAAAAAAGCATTACGGCAAGCTAGTTTCCATCGCATTAAACAAATCGATGCAAAACTCTGTCAAACCATTTTGAAGTAGCGCTTTTTGAACACTTGCCAAAGTGGTCGAAACAAACTTTTGGCGATCTTTACCTCCGCTGGTAAACACAGATGGTGCATCTGTTCACTAGCGCATAAGGCTAACTAAGACTTATTTGCTTTTCTTTTTGCTCGCAATTCGCGTCTGAACAGTAGCAACAGCGTACCACCTCGATTACCTCAATGTCAGAAGTCCGTATTATCAACAAGGAGGTTCAACCTTGCGAAGTGTAGGTGTGAACAAAACTAGTGGACCTGATGGTATACCACCATCTTCTTTTCTTGGTGGTTCTTCCCAGGACAGAGGTTTTTTTCGAACCAGTGGTAACGTAAAATATTGACTTTCAATAAGAATTACTTGTAATCTACATTGAATAAAAAATTATTCTTGACACATTTGTGCCGCCCCTCATTCAGGACTAGAATAATCCCTAAATCTTGGAAGCATAGCCTGTGCCTAAAAAAGGCAGCCGTACCGACCCTTCCAATTATCGACCTTTTATAATTACCTCCATTCTCTGCAAGATTTTGGAGCATATATGGAACGAACCTCATGGCATACCTTGAGCAAAATGATCCCCTCAGTTACCTCCAAAACGGGTTTCGCCGAAATCGATCTATGTGGGGAAGCATTTGCTATTTCCCTTAATGTATCAAAGGTCTTTGGCAGAGTTTGGTCATCATTGATGGTCGCCCAATCATATCACGACAAACGCCGGAGTTCCTCAGGGGTCCCTTCTTTCCACAACTCTCTTCCTGCTGCATATTAATGATCGCCATGTTGCCGGCATCTATGAGTATGCAGAGAACAGCACAGTTGTGGAGAGGTATCAGCCGAATGCTCGGGTCCATGGGGAGTCCGAATGAGAAGTTACGGTGACTGAGCGTGTGAATCTCTCACTGCAGGCCCGGTCTTCGAATAAAGCAATTACCATTCTCGTGAGATTCAACATCTCCAAAACACAAGCATAGTCTTTTCACCACTTAAAGGATCCTGCTCACTCTGGCCCCTACTTTCCGGAATGTATTCGAATGTATCTTTGGAGTACACTGATCACCTTCAGTTGTTAGTGATTGAGATTTTTCCGAACCTAACTATGGGCGGTTCATTGAGTTCAGGGTCAAAGCAGGCACAAGAAAACTACGTGTCCTTCCAAGGAAGCGGCGGTACTTCACACTGGAATAGCTAAAACTGCTGCTAAAACTAAAAGTGCAAGTCCAGTCCTGTATGAAGAATTGCTGTCAAATATAGGCTGTTGCTGCACAATGCCACCTAGCAGCATTGAACGAACTGGAGAGATTTGCTAAGAGAATCATTGGTAGCACTGATTTGGTTAAAACCAATCTTGTCAGCCTCGAGCACAGGTGCAGAGTAGCCAGCTTCTCAGTATTCTATAGCATGCATTTCGGAATGTGCACAGGAATTACATACTATAATTCCTCTCTCTCCTTTCCACCATTGGACAACTAGGCAGTCGGTGGGTCTTCAACCCTTTGTTGTTTATATTCCACGCATTAAAACCAAGCGGTTTGATTTGTATTTTTTAATGCATACAGCATAGGTGTGAAATAATTTGCTGGTGTCTGTCTTTTCATATGAATACTATCTGGGCATCTTCAAGGCAAGAGTGCTTTACGCTAAGTCAGTGCAACTTACCACCAGGTAGGATTTTGGTCAAAGACTGGCTTATAACAAATTAAAAAAAAATAAAAGCGAAACAAAATAGACATTTGTGATAAAGTCAATAGTGCACAATCCAAATGCCTGGGAACACACTAGTTCCCAAGTCGGCCATTACATATCAGTTCCAAGATGCTCTGGAACTACATAGAATTAGTACAGGTGATGGACCCACGAATCCGGAAAAATAAGTCTAAAGCATCTGATGAGAGTCACATGAAAATGTTGATCTCTTACAAGTATGGGCAGGAATTTGGAAAAATAAGTCTAAAGTGCCTGATAAGAGTCACATGAAAATGTGGATCTCTTACAAGTATGAGCAGTAGGCTAGTTATAGGCTATGTAGGCAAATAGACCTATAATGGTTTATAGGACATTTTGAAATTATTACATTTCCATAGTTCTTGACTACAAATCCATCTTGTCTTAATAGAATTTAAAATGATCTTAGATGAATAGTGTCAACCAAAGCTTAGAGAAGGCAAAAACAGACAAGTAGTGCTGACTAGAAAGAGTTTTTCAGTTTAGATTTTGATATTCTTTAATCCACCAAAAGGGATAAAAGAAATTAACTTTTAATAAAAGAAAAGTAAAAGACTTTAAACAACTAAAAATAATTTAACATTTTCAAGGTGGCAAGACATAATGTATGGAAGAATAAAAGCCCCTCAGAGTAAAACTGGTTGGTGTGTTGGTGTTGTAGGTCCCGTTTTCAGCCACAAATGGATTGTCTGGGTCCGAGTTTTTTATGGGAGTATCCGTTTTTTAAAAAAAAAAACAAATTGAGAAATTGTGTTTTGTTATATGCAATTTTAGTAAAATTTATTTTTATCGTAAATAATTCGAACGGCATTTCTTAAATCCAAAAACAGTGTAAAAGGTTCCAGCTTAACTCTAACAACCCTAAATTGAAAACAAAATTAAAGAATCGTGTACCGGATGTCTACTCCATAATAATAGACCAAATTGACATTTTTGTGTAATTAATTAAAAACAAATTTCTGACATCTAAAAATAATGTAATAGGTTCAAGCTTAACACTAACAAGCCTCCTAAACTAAAAAAGTTATTAAAATCAAGTACCGGACATCTATAGCCAACTCAGCCCTTCAGAAACTATATACCTTCTGCATAGATTGTACAAAAAATTGATAATTTTTATGTGGAAGGTAGGAACGGTTAACTGACATTGGGACGTTGAATACCTCAGACCCCCATGACCATAGGTACTGCAAAGTACTTAAAACATTGTGAATATAAAAACTAGTCTCATTCAATATGTAGTATTCATAAGATATTAGCTTGCCAGGCAGACGTTGTTCTGCCCTTTTCGACGACCCTGTCATTTCCTATAAAAATCCTTAAATTCGCAAAAAAATATTGTGGGTCACTCATGGGCAAAAAAACTATCCTATTTCTCAAGTTGGACCAAACTACACGCGGTGTGCAAATTTGATTAAAATCAGTTAAGTAGTTTAGGGAGTCCATCGCGGACAAACATGACACGTAATTTATATATGTTAAGATTAGAGGAATAATTTTGATTTAAGAATACACTTTAAAAAGTGTAAAGCTTATTACCTTCTTTATCAGCAGGTAACATTGGAAAAACCGATCTTTTAATTTCTTCATCATGATAAGATGCTACAGTAGGAGCATTAATCTTATGTGCTTGTACTGGTATAACTGGACTTTCATGTGCATTTTTAAGAATGCCTTTCAATCTTTTTTCCTGTGGCGCTTCTATAACAGACCCACAAGGCCTCTTATTTCTTACTTTTCCTTCAGTAAAATTATTTGTCAATTCTTTTAACTTTTTCGCTTGCTCCACATTTTCTCTATGTTGTTTACTATTGATATGAACTTGCCAGACGTTTTCAGATCGCACTATAGAAGAACACAGAATACACATTAGTTGCCCAGCGTTGTTGTACTTTGCAAGTGGATTGTTTATTTTTGTTGGCTTTTTATCCTTATTTTTACGTTCTGCCATTAATTTGCGCATTTCTTCTATTGCTTTTTTCTTTTCGACCTGCAAACGCAACGACATGACTTATCAGAGGTCTGAATACTAGATCTTTAAACGAAATGTAACAATATCTGTTTCTGAAATTGTTAAAAGTTTTTAAGTTTTTGGTCAAAAACTCTAAAATAAACAAATGCTCTGTCAAAGTCAAATATGACAATTTTCAGTGCTGCCAGATAAAAATCTTTAAGCCGTGTACGTTATAGAGATTTCGACTACCAAACCATGAAAAGGAAAATAAATGAGTCAAAGATCACAAACTAATAAGAGTACTAGCGTAGACAGAGAAACCTATAGACAATTTGACGCCTTCTTTCGCATTCGCACACGAAAAAGATAGATTTATGCATACGTCTTGCATAGAAATGAGACAAAGTGGGGTGATTGTTTGTCCCTTTCTTCGTGCCAGTTTTTTTTGTTTAGCAAACCACACTTTGCTAAACAACTTTGACAGTTCGTAGCGATCTAAGGAGTTTACAAGTTGGTTTAAGTGGGAAAAAAGTGTTTTGTGAGCTTAAGATTGCTGAATCTTGTTCAGTTCAGTTCTTACAACACTTAGAACAAAACAGAACTATATAAATGTACGTTTAAATTTTATCTAAATATGTTTAAAAGTCATAAAGATTATTGTATAACCTAAAACTACGTTATCGTCCGTTCTCACTCGCGGCCACGCTAGTCGTTAGTCTATAGGTTTCTCTGTCTGCGAGTACTAGCGTAGTCAAAGACATATTAAATCCATAGGTATAGTAGAGTATACATATACGATCGAGTGACGAGACCGAGACCAGACTGAAAATACACTAGTGTACAGGTAATGTGCACGCATGGAGGTTAGAGAACAGGAGAACGATCGGTACGTGTTAAAACATAGTTCGCCTGTCCCTGAAAATTTGTAGAATTTTTTTTTTTTTTTTTTTATAGAAGAGGGGGCAAACGAGCATGTGGCTCACCTGATGTTAAGTGACTACCGCCGCCCATGATCAACCGCAACACCAGGGGAATTGCAGGTGCGTTGCCGGCCCTTTAGAAAGGAGTAAGCTCTTTTCTTGAAGGTCCCCAGGTCGTATCGGTTCGGAAAAATCACCGGTGGTAAATTATTCCACAGAGAGGTTGTACGCGGAAGAAAACTCCTTTTGAAACGTACAGTGGTGGACCGCCAAGCATCCAGATGGTGTGGATGGTATCGGGACGTTTGCCGTGTAGTGCGTTCACGAAATTTGGCGGCTGGGATTAATCCGAACAATTCCTCAGAGCACTCCCCGTGATAGATGCGATAAAATACGCAAAGAGATGCAACATCTCTTCGCAGCGCCAGTGAATCGAGCCGATCGGAAAGCACTCGGTCGTCGACGATTCGAGCCGCTCTGCGCTGGATGCGGTCAAGTGGAAGGAGCTGGTACTGGGGAGCCCCAGCCCAGAGATGGGAACAGTATTCCATGAGCGGCCGAACCTGCGCCTTGTAAAGTTGCAGGCGGTGTGCCGGCATGAAATACTGTCCCGCTCTGCTGAGCACGCCAAGCTTTTTAGAGGCCAATTTGGCCTTCCCTTCCAAGTGACCACGAAACTGCACGTCACTCGATATGTCGACGCCGAGGATTCCGATACTGGCTGAGGCAACAAGGGGAGTACCTTGAAACTGAGGGGATACGACAAAGGGGTTCTTTTTAGCGGTTAACGCGCAAACTTGTGTCTTCTGGGGGTTAAACTGGACTAGATTTAGTCGCCCCCAATCCGAGACTCTGTCCAGCAGAGACTCGACTTCAGACACAAGTTTGTCCCGGCACTCAGAGACGTTTTCCCGAGAAATATTTGCTCGGCCGGTGTAAAGAGCATCACCAGTGCTGTCATCTGCATAGCAATGAATGCTACGGGTTTGCAACATATCATTGATATGCAGAAGAAACAGCGTTGGCGATAGCACGCAGCCCTGTGGAACACCAGCATTAATAAGCTTGCAATCGGAGCTTGCACCGTCTACAACGACCTTGATGCTCCGATCTGCAAGGAAACTGGTGATCCAATCGCACAATTTCTCGGGAAGCCCATAGGAAGGGAGCTTCGAAAGAAGCGCTTTGTGCCAAACCCGATCGAAGGCCTTCGCAATGTCCAAACTAACGGCCAATGCCTCCCCCTTGGACTCTACTGCCTCCGCCCATCTGTGAGTTAGGTAGACCAGAAGATCACCAGCTGACCTACCACGGCGAAAACCGTATTGGCGGTCACTAATCAGCTGGTGATCCTCAAGGTACCTCATGAGCTGGCAGTTTACAATGGACTCCATTGTTTTGGAGAACAAGGAGGTGATGGCGATAGGCCGGTAGTTGGACGGGTCTGAGCGGTCGCCTTTTTTTAGGGATCGGGTGGACGAAAGCCGTCTTCCATGATTTTGGGACTACGCCTAGGGAGTAGGAGTACCGGAAAAGACGCGTTAAAACCGGTGCCAACTCTGGAGCACACGTCCTCAGCACAATTGGGGGGATTCCATCAGGCCCACTCGACTTATGGATGTCCAGGGAGAGGAGTGCTTTGCGAACCGAGCGCTGAGTGAAGTGCACTTCCGGCATGGAGCACTCACACCGCGGGATGGTCGGCGGCGTACTCCCCCCGTCATCGAGAGTCGAGTTAGACGCAAAGAAAGAGCCTAGAAGATCGGCTTTCTCCTTTGCGGTGTGGGCCAGTGAGTCGTCCTCCCTGTGCAGAGATGGAAGAGATGGCTGACAGAAATTCCCCTGGACAGCCTTGGCGAGAGACCAGAATGCACGGGTTCCAGAAGGAAGACGAACTAGTCTCTCGCCAATTCTGCCTATGTGCTCTGACTTTGCCTTGGCAATGACTCTTTTGAAGGACCTAGAGGCGGAATTATACTTCTTTTTTAGAGCGCTGGTGTTTACATCCCTGGACGCTGATGCGTCAGCCCAGGCTTGGTAGCACTCCTGCTTATAGCATGATGCTATTTTACAGGAGCGACCAAACCATGGCCGAGATTTGCCTCCAATGGGCACCACAGAGGAAGGAATAAAAAGTTCCATACCCTGAAGTACCACATCAGCGACAGAATCCGCAACAACGTTGGGATCATCCGGCGAGAAGCAAACCCGCCCCCAAGGGTAGGATGCAAAGAAAGACCGCATCCCATCCCAATCAGCTGACCTATAGTGCCAAACACGGCGGCAGCCTGCAGAATGCAACCGCGTTTTCAGCGTGAGTGGCACCACACTCCGGACAAGACAATGATCCGAGGAGCCTAAAGGGGCGTCGACGGAAATCTGATATCCGTCCGGGTGAGAGGTCAGCAGAAGGTCCAACAGGGAAGGTGCATGATCCTCCACATCTGGAATCCGCGTAGGCGAAGTAACCAGTTGTGTCAGACCATATGCCAAGGCAAAATCACGAACAGATCTCCCCCGCATGATCGGTTAAACGTGAATTGAGCCATTCGGCGTGATGGACGTTGAAGTCGCCGAGGATCACGATCTCTGCGGAGGGGATCTGCTGTAGCAACGAATCTGCAGCCATTTGGACGTGGTCGAAGAGTCGGTCTGTTTCGGCATTACCGCTATGGGACCTATAGAGGCACCCGTAGACGCGCGGATGGTCGTCGCTGTCTACGCGTAGCCAAAGGATGGACAGGTCCGAACCTTCAAGTCTGCCGAGGCGTCGAGAACAGATGTCCTCTCTGACGTAAACGCAAACTCCAGCCCGAGGCACAAAGGAGTGTTCCAGTTTGTACCCCGGGTAGGAGAGATACGAGACATCAGCCGGAGAGGACACCTGCGTCTCGGTCAGAAAGAGCAGAGCCGGCCTCGCCGTCTCGAGATGGTAGTGGACGGCGTTTAGGTTAGAGTGAAGTCCCCTGATATTGCAGAAATTCACGGACAGCGTGGCAGGGGTCGCCTTGGTCTTGTTGCTCCGTTTGCCCCGAGCAGTTTTAGTCTTGAGCGGAATATTGCCCCCCCCAGAATACGCGGGGCAGCCTGAGCACCCACGCTCAGAAGTGGAGAAACATGGTCGTGGATGCTCAGCGAGGGATTCTCCAGGGGTGCTGGTACCCTCCTGGGGTAGTCTATCATTTAATTCCGCTACCATGTTGATGGGGGGGGGGGGATTTGGGCCTCCGGCCACCTGCACTCACCAGACGAAACGCGGAAGCAGAGCTTCCACTTCACGCCGGTATTCTGTGAGGTCGTGGTACCACCCCGGTTTGAGCCGGCCCATACGTGCGACAGCAAAGCTGCCGCGTGGCTCTACCACTGTTATCAGTCAATTTATGGCCACGCTGCCGTCGGTAAGTAGTGTCTGCACAATAATTTTTTTAATTTGTGACTAAAAGAAACATTAAAAAATGGTGAAATATTATAAAGAAAAATAATAAATCAATAGTGATTAATAATTTATATTTATAATAATTTATAATAATTAAAATTATATAAAATATAATTTATTTATTAATAAATAATAATAATAAATAAAAATAATTTCGTTATTTTTTAATGATATAGTAATTTCAAACAACAGCCCGCTTTTATTGAAACAACTTATCGATCGCAATGCCTCACTTATTTTGTCCATATTTCTGGGACACTATTTTCTACAGCGATCGTTCTCCTGTTCTCTAACCTTCATGTGTACATGGGTGACAAATGGTGCTGAACCATGCATTGCCTGCCTCAACTTCAATTATCGATACCAATTGCAGTATATTCGTGTCTTCTGATTTGACGGAGATGATTTAAGTGAATAAACCACATAATGCCATCCTTTTTTTTACCAGCACTACAGGTGAATACCATGGACTAGATGAAGATTCAATAACTCCATCCTTCACCATTCCCTTAATCATAGTTTTCACTTCCTTTTCACGTGCTACCGGTAATCTTCTTGGCCGCTGACGGATAGACAATTCCTCTCCTGTGTTTATTTTGTGTTGAACTAATCCAGTCTTTCCTATGTCAGCATTGTTTGACGAGAAAACATCA